ATCACAAAAATAATATTTTTCACCAAATTAGGTTTAGATTTTATTTTTTATCAAAAATTAAATTAATTAAATTAGGTTGTTAATTGTAGATAACTTTAATTATTTTGTAAATAAATTTAAAATCAATTAGAATAATTAGGGTTTTATTTCTAACTTAATTCTATTTTTCTTTCTCTTAAAAATACCAAAAATACCAAAAATACAAAAATGGACCATTTAATTATTTTCATTAATTAATTTAATTAGATAATTAATTTTGTATTTAATTTTAAAACCTAATTTTTTTCTTAAAAATAATTAAAATAAACAAAAACATCTTTTTCTTTTAACTAGTTTGAAAAGGGTCAAAACCCTAATTTCTTGTCGATCTCAACTTCATCGCGCACTTTATTATTATTTTTACCATATTGATGCAATTTCCCACAAGTTGTAATAGTTTAATTAGGTCTTTTATCTTTCATTTATCGCTTTATTTTTCAAGGGTATGTTTTTGGCTATGTAAATACCCGAAGCCTTGTAATAGCGTAGTTTTAATTTCCGCACTTTAAATTCCTCAAAATATTAACTGTTAGATGTATGATTAGGGTTGCATGACAAGAATGTATGATAAAACTTTAAAACAGTTAGCAAACCCTAAATGTGCAAAGATAAATAATCTTAAATTGAATCACTCGCACATGCGCATTCCTAGGGTACACTCCCACTTGGTTGCCTTCGGTAAACGGTCATTAAGTATAGGATGCTTTAGTGGTCGCTCTTTTGTCTAATCAAAGACCAAAGTCCTGTTCGGAAAAGTTGCCTCGGAATGGTTGCCTCGAATAATTGATCTAAGACATTAGGATTATTACTAAGACGTCCTAAAATTTCTTTAGTGACCATACGTCCCTTTTCGAATTGACCTTCAAAACTCCAACGACGATGCTACCTACTCACTAATAGTGGGATAGCACGGTCTAAAGGAAACAAACATAGAACAATTCTCCTTTTCGAGTAGGTAGATTAGTTCTTAAGTACTTGCTCAATCCAAACAAACTTTTTCACACTTACACTCCTCTTTTAAACAAAGCTTTCAAAAAACACTTCGTAACACTCTTGAAGACAGAAGCAAGAGTTAAATCAAAGTTAAAAACTTTTCAAATCACACAAACACACAAAGAAGCAATTTTGAAAATGATGAGCAAGTACATAAGAGCCCGTAGATAACTACGGATAGAAAGGGTGCTAATACCTTCCCTTTCTATAATCTACCCGCCGTACTCAGAAAATCTCGAAAGAAGGAATTTTTCTGTGCTTTTTTCCTTTCCAGTTGGATAAAATAAAAGTCGGTGGCACTCTTGCTTACCGCAACATTTTGCAAACACAAACGCAAAATGCAAACCAGCAATTCCTAAAAAACAGTCCTGGTTCTGGCCACCGTATCACACTATGACTATAATATCAGTTGATAAAAACAAGAATCCACGACAATGACGCCAATTTGATCCGCTGTCGCACACGGATCAAAAACGAGTATTTTGTAAAATGCAGTATAGCGACAATGGCTCGAGTCGTATCGCAAGGATTCTTGATTTTATTATTAACTAATAGAAATCGAATGGGGGGTTGGTTTTAGGATCGATTCATAACACAAAATAAGTGATTAAAATAAGTGATTATAAAAATAAGTTGATCTATTGTTTTCAGGTTCCTGCTAATCATTGGTTTTTAACTTACCAATTCCCTAAGCGGCTTCGACCTCTATTCGATTTCAATACCAATTGACAAGCGCAATAGATATAAAATATATTGAATTCTCATTCTGAATTAAGCAAATGGATTAATACAATCGTGAATTAAGCAAACATGATATAAAACACGATTTAACGACTAAGCGACGTAAACAACGATTAAAGATTAAGAATACAGTCATACAAATTTAATCAAGACATTCCATGAAATAACAAATTAAGCAAATGCAATTTCATAATATAGAATTGAAAGAGAAACAAAATTGAATTGATAAGTTAAAAACCTCAAAGCATCAGAACACGATTACAGTAGATCAACTATGGATGATTAGATCTTCATTCAAGCGTAAAAGCAAAATGTATTTTTTCTGAATAATGAAAAGTTTAAAACAAAATTACTGTAGCGGCTGCTAGGTATAGCAAGGATAAGGATTCGGTTCATAACCCAACTGGGTTGAAAACATAACCCAGGCCCAAAACAAATGACCCAAAACTTAAATATAAAATTTTGTAGCTTCAACGAATTTTATGGCCCTGCTACAGTCCTATTCAGCTCTCGACTTCTGAATAAAAATCGTAGCACGCCTCATTCCGACTTTCGTAGCTCAAGTTATGAATTTATTCGTGTAGACTGCTAATGCTGAAAACAAAGTGCGAAAATCAAATAAGAGTAGAAATAAACTAAAATAGAAAAACACTATAAAATACAAAAATAAGTTAAACAAACCATGAAAATGCATAAGTACAATCATGGAAGAATGTGCATCAAAATGCACTGATCACATACAATGTTTCTTGGTTACATGTTATCGTTGCATGTTCAGTGGTGCGCCAAGACGCCTATCTTCTATTGTCTGACGTTTACAAGGTGGAGAACTTATTTGGGGTTTACAGCACAAGCTTTCCAGTTCTACCGTACGATGAGTATTGACCCACTTATGAGGGAGATTATATTTGCCATAATCCAATCATGAGGAGGAACGAGAAAGATCGTCATGTGAGCACCTGTATTACAATAGAAATGGACGTGTATGATAAGTTGGAGAGAAAATGCGTATTGTGTCGTCTTTCGGGTTACAACCGAATGCAATGCCACGATGTAGGAACTAGTAATAATTAGTTATTCATTTTGTTATCAATCTTCAAAGTTGTATGTATAATGACGCCAAGAAATTATGTTTTATGTCACTAATACTTTTCATTTAATATAAATAACAACTACAAAAGATAACACATAAATTAAAATACTTAGACAAATAGAAGAACTTAACAACAACATTCAACCTAAACAACATCAACAAGTTCAAACAAACACATAAACATTTCTAGGATATTAGAACCAACAATACAATATCTTTTTGTTGAAGCATCATCATAAGGACACATGCATCGTTGTGAACAAGTCTCCAAGAACGAGTTGGTCCATTTAAGTCGGGCACCATAACTAACCTCTCAATTTTCCGGATCTTTTCACTTGGTGCAATTTCTTCCCCTAACCATCCCTCCAAGTGCCTATGCAGATGCTCAAATTTCAGCGTGCTCAACAACTTGATCTTCAGCGGAGACTTTACAGGAGAAAAAATCAGTTCAACATCTCTTTTTATATATGGAAACATTGGGAACTCTCCGCTTGTTGAAAACATTTTTAAGATAGAAAAAAGGATTGTGTGTTGAGTGTAGTTAGGATCATTCAACATTAATGGTATTTATAGTTCACAACAACAATTAAAAAATAATAAAATAATGAAAGTCTCCATCCATTAGCGGAATTGTACTTAAATAATAAAGTAATAAAAGTCTCCGCCCATTAAAATGGCGGAGCTGTACTTAAATAATAAAATAATAAAAACATATGCTCATTACACTGATGGAGTTTTACTTAAATAATAAAGTAATCAAACCAGCAGCCGTCCATTGCAGTAGCAAAGTTGTACTTAAATAATAAAGTAATGAAAGTCTCCGTCCATTGCAGTGACAGAGCCCTATTTAAATAATAAAACAATAAAAACTATATTAATATTTATTTATTATTATGTTTAATTTTAATTTTAATTTAAATAAATTTTATTTATTTTAATATTTATTTATTACTATGATTAACATTTATTTTAATTTAAACCTATTTTTAAATATCAATTTTAATATTAATATTAATTTTAATTGTAATATAATTTTTATTTATTTTTAATATTATATTAAAAAAATGAAACATAAATAACTCTGTCAGTCTAATAGACGAAAATTGTATAAACTACAAAAATTCCGTCAGTCGAATAGGTTATTTGTTCACCATTTTTTTATTTAAACTAATGATATATTTGATTGAAATAGATGATAATATAATAATTTACTCAAAAAAAGTAGTAGGTTGGTAAAAAATTTCCTTGTATCCACTGCTTTTTGAGTTAATAAATTTAATTTTAGTCAAAAAATAATAATAATATTTTAAAAGTGAACATATAACTACCAATAAGGTAATTATTATTTAATATATTTTATAAATTTATGTCTAAAACATTTAGTTTGAAATGTGTGATACTCCATCATCAAATATTTAAAATTCAACAAAAATAGTTTTAAATCTAAAAAATTGAAGAATATAACATTAAAAAAATCAAATCGTATTAAAGATTAGGTTTTGTTCAAATATATTGGGTTAATGGAACACATCAGGACAAATATGTTTCATTAAATTTAATAGAATATTCTAATTCATCATTATTCATTTAGAGATGCATCAAACCAAATATAATATAATTTATTAATTAATTAATTATATCAATTTACAACTAATTAATTAACTAAATAATTAATTTAATAATCTAGTCATAGTTTACAAGACTTGTGTTGTGTCCTTGTAAACTATTAGCTGGTATTATTTTTAATTAATTTTCATATAAACTTCTTTTAGAAAAATATAAAAGGTAAATCACATTTTTAAAAATATATAGTAATAAATTGGATTTAAATTATTTTCTTTAAAGATAAAATTATAAAATTTATAAATCATCAACAAATTTAAACTACAAACTAACTTCCCGAATGCCGCAGAGAAAACCGGACAAATTAAACAGTAATTGAATGTTAAAACCATGAAAATCCATTGATTCCCAAGCCACCAAACCAGAAAAGTTTAGAATCTATTTTCCTCTTTTATTCTCTCTATAAATACACCTTTTCACATAACAACTTTTACTAAGAAAAATCATAAGATACTCCAAAAAATATTTCCCTCTATTTTGCATCAAACAGCATCGTTAGTTTCACTTTTTCATGGCTGGTCTTCAGCAGTACAACTTTTTTCCCACTGATCTCTTCTACCCTCGTCCACAGCCACAGCAATCTACTCCCATTGTGCTTCCACTCCAAACACCAAACACTCAAGATCATTCTCAGAATCATCAACAACAACAATCATCTAGTACCATGATGAAACCCACCCCTTCAACTTCTTCTTTGATTTGCACCCACAAGACACAGTCTTTTGATGTTGTTGACAATAGCAAATCTAAATTGTCACCAAACCCACTTTCTTTTATGGTTTGGATTGATGAAGAATAGACCTCAAAGACACTTTTTTGAATGAGACAGACAACCTTGTAGTTCTCATGTTTTAGGGTATCTAACTTATTCAAGGGTTTATTCTCTTTTTTCAAGTTTTTGTTTTTTTTTACCTTTTTCAATTTTTCATATTACTCACAGAAGATGATTTTAATTAGTCAAATTTGTAATTTCTAAGATTTCTTTACTAATTAAGAAAATCGGTCAAAGATATTTAATTTGTATATTATGGAATGTGTTGAACTATAATATACTAATTAAGAAAACAGATCAAAAAGTGAAATTGTTCATTTACGTATTTGATTTCTTCTATATTTCAATAATCTTCGTTACCTTTTGAAAATGAGTGGATTAGAACGGATATAGTGGTGTAAAGTTAAAATTGAAGAAAAATAAAAACAAAATATTATAAATGATAATAGAAAATAATGATAAAAATTATGAATTTTAATAAGATAATTTATAATTTGTTCTGGACTGGGTCTACTTTCGCCCAAAAGGCAGATAAAGGCCTAAATTCAGACAACTCCTCGAGAAATGCTCACAAACGTACCATCACCGAACGTGCCCGACCACAGACCGCAGCTTATACCTGCCATTGTCCGCGACAAGCAGTGTCCCTGACCAAGGGAACTCTAGCTCGAGCCCAGCTCGAGCACCCTCCCCGTAGGGAAGACTCTGTCCACCCTAACCGTTGTAGAATCCTCCAAACTCCGGAAAGACCGCGTCTTCGTCCCTCCTTGTTCTTCACACAGCATCACTAGGAAGGGGACCACATGCGGGGCCCCACTATACACGTAGAACCTGGCAGTTCCTTTATTGAGCCAGCTCTGGTCGGTCCAATGAGGGGACCTTGGCCCAGCGCTGGGGGCTATAAATACCCTCTGTTCCAAGAGGGTCAGGTATTCATCTATTACGCACCTATATACTTTTGCCTGCTCATTCCGTCTCTCATTTTAGCATCGGAGTGCCTTGCAGGTACCCCTCCCCCCATCTCACTCAAATTCAGTTCGAGCCAGCCGTGACGGTCCAAGTCTGATCCGGTAAGATCAGTGGCGCCGTCTGTGGGAAACTAGCTTCCCCGTCTTGCAAACTCTCGAAGACCAAAGCTAAAAATCACCTCCTACCGTCATGGCTGACCAGGTTCGGGATGACCAGAACGTCCACGTCGTCGACGTTAACAACAACCTCGCGGATAAGAACGGAATCCCCGACAACGTCGGCAACCCCGACCATAGCACACTCCCCGGGGGCGCCATCCCCGGGCCCTCGGGCCACCGCGACGGAGCCACTGCCTCATCTTCATCAGTCCCTCCTCCACTCGAAGAAGACAATACGGCTCCCCCAAACTATCTAGCTGCAAAATTTCAGGAGGTCCATGTCCCCGCCGGGGCAGATGCCACGACCCAAGTGAAGGAAAATTGCGATCAGAAGCGCAGCAGAATTTAAAATTTTCCTTTAGCGATCATTACGAATGAACATGGTCAGTGATAGAAATATTTACCTCTTGTGGCGATTCAGACCTTTGATGTTGTGATCACGAGCGTTGATGAAGAACAACGTCTCTACTCAGTCCACACGAACAGATCGCTTCCGGTCACAGTGCTAGCTGATCACGAACGGAAACCTTGAGTGAGAGAGAGAATCAAAAACGAAATTGCATCAAGTGAAATTGCTTCATCACAAGGGATCTATTTATAGAATCACTCGTGTGGGCTACAAGCTAAAAGTCCAATTAAGACTATAAGCTAAAAGCCCAATTAAGCTTATGGACATCATACCTTATGATGTACCATATATCACTTATCCACGTGGTACCTTACCACTTTCCGTATTACACTTAAGTGCATCGTACCTTACGGTGTTCCTTATTTATTCTATCTCTCATCAACCTGTCCTTATGTGTGTGACCCTGTAGGTTTTCGCGACGTTGGCAATTATATTAAATCACACATTTAATATAATAAACAGTGAGCGGTATCTAGCAACACATCACTGTTACCCAAGTCACGAAAATGTCATGTGATCTGACCAAACCTTTTCCGTGATAATATTTGTGTTGTACAATTACCCTTTTGCCCTCATGTCTATATTGAACACAAGGCATACACTGTGTCACCCTTGTCCAGTTCAATATTGGGCCCTTAGACATTTATCCTGTTATGCAGGATGAGCAAATTCCATCTAGGTCACTCATGTCCCTTAGCATGCTTTGTGAAGTACCCATCAACCGTCTTTATAGTCATCCAGTTACAGATTACGTTTGATCAGCAATAAAGTACTTGACTCTACATCTAGTGTCCATAGTGGTTTCAGGTCGAAGGGTGGTATACACTATTATCATCATGAGAATAACTTATGACACTTTGCATAACATTCTATGTAGTATTCTCATAGCGGGTCAATCCAGTATAAATATTACTCCTAATATTCATACCTATGTCAAGACTTGATAACTCATTATCTATGATCCATGAGATGTGATCATCAATCTATCTTCATAATAATCTTAATGCTTTAATGTTATCTCACTTCACATTAAAGCTTGACTACGGATACTTTAAGAATAATGTCTTATGTTTAATGGGATCTCATGATTAAGTCACACTTAACATTTCATTAAACAAATAAACCATTCTAGGGACTTTATTATTTTGGAAAGCAAACATAATAAAGAAATGCCTTTTATTATTAATAAATAATTCGATACAAGTACCAAAAGTATTGGCCTCTAGGGCTTACACCAACAATCTCCCACTAGCACTAGAGCCAATCAGGCATACCCCTAATACCCATAGATCTAGTATGTCCATCATGCTTCAGCTGCGCAAGAGGCTTTGTTAATGGGTCAGCAACATTGTCAAGTGTAGGTACTCTGCATATTTTCACATCTCCCCGATCGATTATCTCTCGAATGAGATGATAACGCCTAAGTATGTATTTGGATCGTTGGTGAGATCTAGGCTCCTTAGCTTGTGCGATATCACCATTGTTATCACAATAGAGATCAATGGGATCCACAATGCTATGGACTATGCCAAGTTCACTAATGAACTTCTTGATCCAAACAGCTTCCTTTGCTGCAGTTGAGGCAGCAATATACTCAGCCTCGGTTGTTTGTAGAATCAGCAATTGTATCTTGCTTTGAACTTTTCCAGCTCACAGCACCACCATTTAAACAAAACACATAACCAGATTGCGATCTAAAGTCATCCTTATATGTCTGGAAGCTAGCATCGGTGTATCCAATTACAGCAAGCTCTTCCTGACCTCCATATATCAAGAATGAGTCCTTAGTCCTTCTCAAGTACTTAAGGATATTCTTGACAGCTACCCAATGAGCATCACCAGGATTATACTGGTACCTACTCGTTGCACTTAAAGAATACGAGACATCTGGTCGAGTACATAGCATGGCATACATGATAGATCCTATTGCAAATGCATATGGAATCTTATCCATGCGATCCCTTTCTTCCTTACTTGAAGGGGATTGTGTTTTTGACAGACACATGCCATGTTGCATAGGTATGAATCCCTTTTTGGAATCATGCATATTAAAGCGTCTCAACACCTTTTCTATGTATGTACTCTGACTTAGGCCAAGCAGTTTTTGTGACCTATCTCTATAGATCCTGATTCCTAATATATAGGCTGCTTCACCTAGGTCCTTCATTGAAAAGCATTTCCCTAACCAAGTCTTCACTTGTTGCAAGGTAGGGACATCGTTTCCAATGAGTAATATGTCATCTACATATAATACCAGGAATACGATCATGCACCCACTAACCTTCTTGTAGACACAAGGCTCATCTTCATTCTTGATGAATCCATATTGTTTTACTGTTTCATCAAAACGAAGATTCCAGCTTCTGGAAGCTTGCTTCAATCCATAAATTGATCGTTGTAACTTACATATCTTTTGGGCTTCTTCTGGTATGTCAAATCCTTCAGGTTGTGTCATGTACACATCCTCAAGAAGATTCCCATTAAGGAAAGCAGTTTTGACATCCATCTGCCATATTTTATAATCATGATATGCAACGATAGCAAGTAAAATCCGAACAGATTTAAGCATTGCAACTGGTGAAAAGGTTTCATCATAGTCAACCCCATGAATTTATTTATAGCCTTTTGCAACCACTCTTGCCTTATAGGTATGTTCCTTACCATCCATGTCAGTCTTCTTTTTGAAGACCCACTTGCATCCTATAGGATTAACTCCTATAGGAGGCTCTACCAAGGTCCAAACCTGGTTTGTGTACATGGAATCCATTTCAGATTTCATGGCTTCTAGCCACTTCTCTGACTCAATACCAGTTATGGCCTCTTGGTAGGTCACAGGCTCATCTTGATCCATGAGTAATACATCACCCTGATCACTTATGAGATATCTGTAACACCCCTTCTAAAATACCCCGAATAATATTAATTATATCAATGATTAAAGACATATTCCATCAGAGTTAACACGGAACAAAGGATGTCACAATTATGAAATAAATAAAACTTCCAATAAAACAGTAGTCATGCTACACTGAGGGTCATTATTCAAATAATTCAATCAACTTAAGACCATGTCTTACACAGCAGAAAAATACCATAACCAAAATGGAATAAACCAAAACATAATTATTCCTAATGAAATTCAAAGAAACAATTGAATAATAACTAATTCCTCAACTAAACGTTCCCCAGTGTTACAACCTGTCAGAGCACGACACTGACACGTGGACTTAAAGTAACATAGCTCTAGAGCCATCCTCACCAACTCCTGAGCTGCTAACTTTAATCTGAAATTGTTAAAGTAAGGGTGAGATTTCTCATAATTAACATGCATTATAAGCTTCTCAATCAACATTATATCACAAGCATATTATTTCACCTATTTTAGCATAAATTCAGGTTCAACACGCAGTTCCAATCATACAAGTCATTATGCACAAATCAATAATCAACCAAAGAATTGTAACACTGGAAGACATCCTAACATGTTACAA